TGTCTACCCGCTTCCACGTCCCATGACGAGCGGAGGAGCAGGCTGGGAACTGGAAGCTGGAACTTTCCCATCTGAGACTTAAATTGATCACTGATGGTTTAAGCATTAGTGGATTACTTGAAAAGAGGGGTAACATGTACCGTTTCTAAACAGCTCCCCAAATTTATTTAGACAGGATTATTAACCGTTTTCTGTCCTCTTATCTGGGTTTTAAATAAATAGAGTCAGTTTACTTGAACTTTCATCGCCTGATCAAATGTTCCTTAAAATCTTGTCCGTGGTACCTTAAGCCGTATTATTAAGCAGGTTAGACTCAACTTGACCATGGTCTTACCAGTGGTGGTGGTTCAGTAGATGGTAAATAGATTATGTACAGAAGTAAAGATACCCAGATAAATAAGAGGATTTATTCCCCCATGAAGCTGAGAAATAAGATTTTAGGAAGACTCCCCTGCCGCCATTGTCTGTCTGAGCACACTTTGTATGTTTCCTGTTTATTCCACTGTCATTACTTCTCCAGGGACCTTGTGTTTTCCCTCTCTTACCACCTGGGATTTATACATCTCAAATAGAATTAAGTATTGTGAGTCACAGCCTCTTTATCACGAACTGGGTTCCGTAGAAAGGTCTGACCAAGCTGTAAACTTGAAGGTACTTAGCCTTGTTTTTAGCACGTATATTTCACTTACTGGAAGCGGATATACTCCTGCATCAGAGACTGATGGGGATTATAGTCTTATAATTATATTTTATTTAGAGGAGGAAAGTCTGTTTTTAAAAGGTGCCCATAGTAATGCCAGGGCATGGTTGGTAGAGACTGCAGAATAAACATCATGAAATCCCATGAAATAGCTGTGATTTTATGAAACATGTTTTTTCCTGCCACTCTCTCAGGGGCTTAATATCTCTCACTTTGGTAGATCATGGACACTTACGACTAAGCCCAGATTTCAGATACTACAGTAACTTTAATAATTTGGTCGCACTAATACAGAACTTATTATGTCATCATCAA